GCTGGACACTCAAGAGACCATCTTAGTTCTGCTTAATCTAGAGGGTGAGAATGGCCTGTCCAACCAAGTCTGTTTCCTTCTTTCTCTCTTATACTTTCATTTTCTTCCTGGACCTTTGAAGAGATGAGTAAAGAACTTGTAAGAACTATAGGTTTTATCTATCTCAGCTAGTGCTCCCTACCCAAGGTACAGTGGCTCATACCTGTAATTCCAGCACTCTGAGAGGCCGAGGCTGGTGGATCCCTTGAGCTCAGGAGTTTGAGTCCAGCCTGGATAACATGACAAAGGCAAGTTTCTACAAAAAATACAAAAAAAATTAGCAAGGCATGGTGACGCATGCCTGCAATCCCAGCTACTCAGGAGGCTGAAGTGGGAGGATCACTTGAGCCCAAGAGGAAGAGGGTGCAGTGAGCGGAAATGTTGCCACTGAACTCCAGCCTGGGCAACAGAGCAAGACCCTGTCTCTGGGCATCAGAGGAAGACCAACCTGAGATAATGCGCTTTTATTCCCGTTCTTTGTTACTATTCCTTCAGAAGACCTATTTAATATACACCTTTCTAAAAACATTGCAAACTCCTTAATATAGTAATCTGCTTGGCACCCCCATGACCAGGCTCTGTATGGGACACACAGTAGATACTCCTGAAATGTGCGTCGAGTGCATGGGTTAAAGTAAAAATAAAGTAAATGGCAAGAAGGAGTTAGATATTAGAAAGCGAAACTTTGAAGACAGGCACTTTGGCATGCTGAGAGACTTTAGAAGCTGCCTAAGAATCAAGACCCTTCTAAAACCTTGTCTCTGCCTCCCCGAGCACAGGATGAGTTTCTGTTTCAGTTTTTCTTACCTGATCAGGAAAGCTTCTTTCTAAGAGAAATGCAATTGTCTTAAGACTCCCTCCCTAGAAATCTCATCAAAGAACCAGAAATGATCAACCACCAGAGAAAAGCAGAGACTGGGGTTACCATACCCAGAAAGACTTTGTTTTGTTGAGAAAGGGTCTCACTCTGTCATCTGGACTGGAGTGCAGTGGTACAATCTGAGCTCACTGCATTACTGCAGCCTCGGCTTCCTGGACTCAAGCAGTCCTCCCATCTCAACCTCCCAAAAAGTGCTGGGATTATAGGCATGAGCCACTGTGTCCAGCCCCAGACAGACTTTTCATCTATTCTTCTGAGGGCAGCTCTAAGAAATTACCTGCGGGACTCTATCTGCATAAAGCAATGTGCAGCACAGTTTCACGTCTCACCTTCCCTTAATGTCTACCTTCCACCTCCCTGACCCATTCATTCTTCTGATAATTTATTGTCCTTCAAAAGAGATGCATACCTCATCTCCTCCCACCCCTATGAAAAAGGGTGCATAAGCTTCTATACCACACTGGGTATTTGGGTAATTAATCTGTGATACCCTACCCCCTCCCGCCCCCGCCCCCACCGCACTCTTGAGTACATTACTATCTTTGTACTCCTGTTCTCCTATTAATCTGCCTTTTGTCAGTTGCTTTTCAGCAAAACTTCAGAAGCTGAGGAAGTTTTCTCTTTACCCCTCCAAGGCATTTGGAAAACCACTCCTGTAGTGGTTGAATAGTGTCCCCTCAATGTTTCTATCTGTTCAGAATCTTAGAGTGCGACACTATTTGAAAACAGGATCTTTACAGATATGAGTTATGTATTTCAAGATGAAATAATCCTGGATTTGCAGTCTACTTTAAATACAATGACTAGTATTTTTATAAGGGAAAGGAGAGGCCAGGCACAGTGGCTCATGCTTGTAATCCCAGCACTTTGGGAGGCTCAGGTGGGAGAATTGCTTGAGCCCAGGAATTCAAGACCAGCCTGGGCAACATGAGACTCCATCTCTACTAAAAATTAATTAAAAAAAAAAAAAAAGCTGGGTGTGGTGGTGCACGCCTATAGTTTCAGCTACTAGGGAGGGGGAGTTGGGAGAATTGCTTGAGTCAAGGAGTCCAAGACGGCAGTGAGCCATGATTGCACCCTGCACTGCAGCCTAAGAGTGAGACTCAGAGAGAGAGAGAGAGAGAGAGAGAGAGAGAGAGAGAGAGAGAGAGAAAAGAGGGAGATTGGAGACAGATATACGTAGAGAAGATGACCATACGAAGATGAAAGTGGAGATTGGAATTATGCTGCCATAAACCAAGAAACATAAGAACCAGCAGAAACTAGAATAATCAAGGAAGGATTCTCTTCTAGAGTTTGCAGAGGGAGCATGGCCCTGCTGCCACTCTGACTTTAGACTTTGGGTCTCTAAAACTATGAGAATAAATTTCTGTTGTTTTAAGTCACCTAGTTTGTGTTAACTTGTTATAGCAGTCCTAGAAAACGAACATACCATCGGTTGGACTGCAACTGTGATCCGAGATGATTAGAAAAGGACTGCAAACTTATTTTCTCTTCTCATTCCCAGATAACTAAGAAAAAAATACACAGGCATACCTCAGAGATAGTGCGAGTTTGGTTACAGATCCCCACAGTAAAGTTAGTATCACAGTAAAACAAACCTCATAAAATTTTTGGTTTCCCAATACATATAAAAGTTATGTTTAAACTATACTATAGTCTGTTAAGTGTGCAATAATATTATGTCTAAAAACCTTAATGGACAAACCTTAATTTAAAATTTCTTTTTTTTTTTTTGACATGGAGGCTTGCTTTTTCGCCCAGGCTGAGTGCAATGGCATGATCTTGGCTCACTGCAACCACCACCTCCTGGGTTCAAGTGAGTCTCCTGCCTCAGTTTCCCAAGTAGCTGGGATTACAGGCACATGACACCATGCCCAGCTAATTTTTGTATTTTTAGTAGAGACAGTTTTCACCGTGTTGGCCAGGCTGGTCTCGAACTCCTGACCTCAAATGATCCTCCTGCCTCAGCCTCCCAAAGTGCTGGGATTACAGGCATGAGCCACCATGTGCGGCCTAAAAATATTTATTGCTAAAAGAATGCTAATGACCATCTAAGCCTTCAGTGAATTGTAATCATTTTTGCCAGGGAAGGGCCTTGCCTTGATCTTGATAGCTGCTGACTGATCAAGGTGGTAGTTGCTGAAGGCTGAGTTGACTGTTACAATCTCTTGAGATGAAACAATAATAAAGTTTGCCACATCAGTTGACTCTTCCTTTTGTAAAAGATTTATCTGTAGCATGTGATCTGTTTGACAGCATTTCACCCACAGTAGAACTTCTTTCAAAATTGGAGTCAGTCTTCTCAAACTTCGTCACTGCTTTATCAACTAAGTTGGTCATATTCCAAATCCTTCGTTACTTTAACAACGTTCAGAACGTCCTTCCCAGAAGTAAATTCCATCTCAAGAAATCACTTTCTTTGCTCATCCATTGGAAGCAACTCTTCATCCCTTCAAGTTTTATCTCGATATTGTAGCAATTCAGTCACATCATCAGACGCCACTTCTAATTCTAGTTCTCTTGCTATTTCTATCACATCTGCTATTCCTTCCTCCACCAAAGTCTTGAATCTCTCAAAGTCATCTATAAGGAAGAAGAATCAACTTTTCCAAACTCTTGTTAATGTTGATATTTTGACCTCCTCCAATGACTCATAAGCACTCTTAATGGCATCTAGAATGGTGAATTTTTTCCAGGTGTTCAACATTGCCCAGACTCATCAGATGAATCACTATCTATTGAAGCTGTAGCTACCTGAAACGTATTTCTTAAGTAAGAAGATTTGAAAGTCAAGGTTACTCTTGATTCATGGGCCACAGAATGAATGTTGTATTAGCAGGCATGAAAACATTAATCTTGCACAACCCCTTCAGAGATCCCGAATGACCAAGTGCATTGTCAAAGAGCAGTCATATTTTGAAAAGAATCTTTTTTTTTTCTTTTTTTCCCTGAGCAGTAGGTCTCAATGGTGGGCTTAAAATATTCAGTAAACCTTGCTGTAAACAGATTTCCTGTTTGAAATATCTGAAAGTTTGAATTATTGAGAGAGTCACCAAAACTGAACATGAGACACGAAGTGAGCACATAGTGTTGAAAAAATAACACCAGTAGACTTGCTGGATACAAGGTTGTCACAAACCTTCAACTTGTAAAAAATGCACCAACAGCAAAGGGCAGTAAACCAAAGCACCATAAAACGAGATATGCCTATATTAGACTAAGTGTATAATATGATATGTAAGAGCATACACATAGTTTTACATATGTCATTGCTAAAATTATTTCCCCATTTAACAAATGAGCACATAGGGGTTGAAAGAGTTTAAATAACTGGTGTCAAAAAGTGTGTAATAATAAGAGCTAATATTTGAGTGACTACTCTGTGTTAGACACCATGTCAGGCTCTTTATGTAAATTAGCTTATCCTGACAGCAAAACAGTACAGATAGGTACTTTTAAATATTTCTCTATTTTTAAAATGAAGGAACTGAGGCACAGAGTGTAAATGATGTGGCCAAAGTCTCTAGTACTTGGCAAAGGGAAGATTTGAACCTAGGGTGGATGATTCTAAAGCCCAGGTGATATACTGTATGTGGACACTGTGTGTTCACCCACCCCCTGAAACCCCTGCCTCTGATTTCAGGGGCATTCCACACACCCACTAATTGCCCTTTAGTATCCTGTCCATGTGGTTCCATTATCTCAGCCATTTCCAACAGAATGCTTTCTTTAACTCTCTTGCCAGTGCTCTTATCACATCAAAATAGCAATAAAGTATGCCTGTTTTTCCTGATTTCAGAGATAATCTTTACAAAATGCTTTTGATATATGAAGCAAATCTCGTGGCCAAAATCTAACATAGGCTTCTATGATGTGTTCTGTTTGGGATCCCAGCAGCAAAGCCTATCTGTTTTGTCTGCATCGTTTGATCGCAGTCAGTATTCTGCATTTATAGGTGCAGGCAGTTCTGAAGGGACCTTCTTATTTGTCACAATTATACAGTTGTAGTTTGATAAATGTTCATCACCTTGGTACAACAACTGATTCTGTTTTTGTTGTTTTTTTCCCCCTTTTCCAGAATTGTATGTTTTCACATATGTTGGACAATAGGCAGAGAGCAGAACCCAGTGAACTTGTGATATGAAGGAGGTAAGAAGCTTCAGTTGGCCTCATATGTCAAATAATATCCTTCCTGAATAAGCAAGAATGTCAAGCTTTTACTTTCTACATCTTGCCCTGTACTTTGTACCAGTCTCAAGTCCCATATGATGCACTTTCTAGATGAGAAGTTTTTTTTTTTTTTTTTTTTTTTTAGGAGACCTTAAATTTTTCTGCATTTACGTTTTAGAGTGATGGTATATATTAGTTTCACCATGTTAATAATTCACGTTATCATATAAATGATAAGCCAAAGTAAGAAAAATAGTGAAATGAACTGTAAATCCAGCTACATTTAGTTTCTATAATTACCATAAAAATTACTGTTGGTGCACTTGATCCAAGAAGAGTCATTCACAATCTCTCCCTTGCATGTTTCCCTCCTGGGTACAGAAGATTGGATTAGAGGTCAGCTTCTGATACAAGATCAGCCAATCCAATGCCTGACATTAGAGTTTTGCAAAGTTGCCTAAAAAGACATTAATTTTCCTCCAGATGACAGAAACTAAAGTCAGGTAAATGTGGCGGCTCTTGGTATACTTGGATGCTGAGGATCAGACACAGTGGCTTGGTAATGAGAGAGACAAATGAGGCAGACACCCAGAGAAAAAGGAAATTAAGGAGCAGTAAAAGCATTTTATGCCCCTCCCTCCACTCTGCCAAACTTCACGGCTCATGCACTTTGGCTAACTATAATACTTACCTGCCGTTGTTTACCAAATTGCCTCAAAACTAAGTGGCTTAACACAAAAGCGTGTATTATCCCACAATTTCTGTGGGTTGAGAATCTATACAGGATGTAGTTGGATCCCCCATCTCAGAGTCTTTCATGAGATTGCAAAGTCCTGACTGAGGCTGTGGTTTCATCTGAAATTTCAAATGGGGAAGGGTCCTTTCCTAAGTTCACTCATATGGTTGCAGCAGGATTCAGTTCCCTGCAGACTGTTACACTAAGAGCCCCAGTTTCTCACTACCTGTTGACCAGAGGCTGCCCTCAGTTTCTTGCCACATAAGCCTCTCAGCTTACAGCATGATGTCTGCCTTCATCAGAGTGAAAAGAGAAAGAGCAACCAAGAAGGAAGTCACAGTCGAACTAATCTCAGAGGAGAATCTTATGACCTTTGCTGCATTTTGCTTGTTAGAAGTTACTACAGCCAGCCTCTACTCATGGTAGGGAAATGACACAAGGTGTGGGTATCATGAGGTAGGAATCTTTGAGAGCCATTTTAATGGCAACCTAACACACTAACACATTTCAGTCCTTAGGCAGTGTGAAATAATCCTAATATCCCTGCAATACCTCTTAATGCTTGCCTAAATTAGTCAAAATTGTTTTCTATTATTTACAACCAAACTTCTTACATATATACTATAGTTTGATAAAATCCAAATTTAGAATCAAGATGTAATTGTATTATGAGAAAATGCATTACTCCAGTTCTAAGTTCCCTTGTCACACATACACACAGACACAGACAACTAACAGACTATTTAATGGTGATACAGGCTGATATATGAGAAAACAGAATACTAAGAATTCTTACTACTAGGAAAATAAATCCTGTGAAGATTAAAATTGCTGCATTTTCAAGTAGTCAGTGAAAATATATGATGGTTGTGACCTTTCTTCCTCTTCTCCTCCTTTCCCTCCTCCTCCTCCTTTTAAACCCCTAAATACTACCATGGAGGACATTTATTTTTTCCAAGCTTTTAGTTTTCTAAACATTTTAATTTTCTCTCATCATTTTATAGAGTGGAAAAAGTAAGCAAAAAAAAAAAATAGGATAATACTATGACAACTTTGAATATTTCTCTGCTTTAGATGACAAGGTACATTTTTGTGGTAATTATAAACATTGAAAAAAAAAAAAAGAGTGAAAACCCCTTATCTTGGGTTACTGTGTCAATCTGTAGGAAATCGAGCAGCATTTCAAAAAACACCTTTAGCAAAAAGTCCCCTCCCTGGTTTTTCCTGCAAACATTAACCTCAAGCATTTACTTCCTTCCATATTATTTATACATTTAACCTCAAAATTTTTTTTAAGAAGTCACAAGCAGATCTAAGAAAAGGCCCAAATGTCAGCCATCTGTAGACCAGACCTGACAAGCTTCCTAGAGGAGATGAAAATCTCTCATTTCATAGAACTGAAAAAGGACCATTGTATACTCCAGAAGCTGGGGTGCAGCTCCTCCAGGTCTCACCGCCAAATCAGGAATCCTATAAATATGCACCTCAGCCACATAAACAGTTTCTCTTCAGTTTCTGCATTGGAGTTTATCTTTGCTGTACCAAATCAATTTATCTTTGGACAGAAAAATTGCAAGAGATCAAAAAAGTTGGTTTAAAATGCAAACAAAGAGACAGGATGGGCATGATTTCCTAAACATACCAGAACAGAGCCATGTGTTGGATGCTACGTAAGAAAGCAAAGAAATTCCCAAAAGATTACCCCGAGTTGGTTTCTCATTTTGGTAGATTTCTTGTGTCTCTTGGTTCTATCAATTTAAATAGAGCCTTAAGGATACAATGACAGTATAAACTATGTTTAAAAAAGACCGAATCAGAAAAGGAAGTTTGGTGCCTCCCAAAAGGAGTGTGAGGGGCAGGAGAATATGGTGAATATATATCACGTTTCCCAGGAGACTCTTCTGGGTTTTGACCATTATAAAGCAGAACAAATAGATAAAGAAAACTCACAAGTGGCTTTTTTTAAAATTAAGATGACATACATTTCATTTCTACTCTTTCTCAGTTCATGAGCCCCCAAATAACATATAGACACTGAAAAAACCTTCTTACAACCTTCTTACACTTTTCTATACTGCTGGTTTCACTAGCCTTCAAGTGTTGGTTTGAACCCTACTGATCTGTAATGCTGATTTTTTCAATAGGGTATTCACCAGCTGGTTCTGATTGGCACTTTTCATCTTCAAATCTGCGATGGTCTGCCTCACTGACAATAGCAGATGAGCCAATAAATCTCGTTCTTCACTTCACATTAGGATCACCTGGGAAAGTGTTAGAAAAACAAAATCCCAATGTCCAGGCTTCTCCCTAGACCAGTCGAATCTGAAGAGTCATTCACAATCTCTTTAGTGATAGGATTCTTGCACTGATATTTTTTGAAGCTTCCCAATAACACCCATGTGCAGCCAAAGCTGAAAACCCACTGGATTCTATTTTGGTATATTAACCATGATCTTAACCAATGAAAATTGCTGAACTACTGGGGAATTTGATTAAGCAATGGAATATTCCTTAGAAACACAATGAACACCCACTAATTTTAGACAGTAACACAAGATTATTGGGTCCTTAATATTCTTTTTAGGGAAACACATTCCACAGAATTCCACAAGCTGTAGAAGACATGTTCTCTTTTATGAAAGAATATGCCACCAGGTTCATAGGAAGAAAAAATAATGGTGCTGCTTTTACTACACTACCAAAGAGAACAACACAAGAAAAGTATCAATTCTTAACTCGGGCGAATGTGCCTATAATATACCACAAACATGAGAAGCAACTTTTTCACCATTAAATTGACCCTGATAAAGCAGTTAATAGAATCTTAAAGCCTAGAAGGAATCCCTTAAATGTATAATCATATTATTCGACACCTGAGGGACTTAGGTGTAGGTCCGTTCCGTTCTCTGAGCTTACGTTTTTTCATTTTAAAGGAGGGATAATATCTCTGTTTCCTGATTATATGTGACAATTGAATTAAATAACATGTGAAAGTACCTTTAACTCTTTAGATATAAACATTTGTATAGTATTTTCATCAGGAAAATGATACTCTAGAATCTTCCAGACAAAATCAGATCAAGTTACGTATATTTTATAATTAATTACATAAAATGTTCAACTGATGAGTCGTTGAGGTAAGTGGTAAGTGGCTACACTAAATGTATTGCTCATGAGGGGTGTTATAAAAACTGCCCTTCTCCTCATACTAGTCCAGGAGTTGCATATTTGATGTGTGCAAAAGCATTTCATTTTATGTATGGCCAATAGTAAATGTTCAATGAATTGTAGCCATTGGGAGAAGTAATGATGGCAGTATTAATGATCACATTGGTAATAATAATGTCTACAGGGTTTTATTTAGTGTTATAATCACTGCCTTAAAATCCTTAGCAAATAAAAACTATTTCTTGCTGGGCACAGTGGCTCATGCCTGTAATACCTGCTACTCAGGAAGCTGAGGTGGGAGGATTGCTTGAGGCTAGGAGTTTGAGGCCAGCCTGGGCAACATAGCAAGATCCCATCTCTAAAAACAAGCAAACAAAAACCTATTTCTTTTGTTGATGACAACTTATTTACTTGAAATGCAATAAATTTGAAAGCAAAATAATAAAAGGGGGAATAAAAAAGCTTTTTACTTAGAGCTTCAATGAAAACTTAGCATAGCCTTTCACTATTTAACGACTCATCAGTTGAACATTTTATGTAATTAATTATAAAATATACGTAATTTGATCTGATTTTGTCTGGAAGATTCTAGAGTATCATTTTCCTGATGAAAATACTATACATATGTTTATATCTAAAGAGTTAAAAGTACTTTCACATGTTATTTAATTCAATTGTCACATATAATCAGGAAACAGAGATATTATCCCTCCTTTAAAATGAAAAAACGTAAGCTCAGAGAACGGAATGGACCTAGCTAAAGTGGCTCCACTAGTAAGTGGCATGGCTAGTATTTCATCATAGGGTTTCTGCCTTTGAGAGCTTCCTTAGGTTACTTCTTTGGACTGTGTCACTCTAGCCTTTTGAATAATTAACTTTACAGAGCAACGGTCAAATGCTATATCCCTGGCTTTCATCAGGCAAAATGTGAAACACATCTATTTGAAAACTTGCTTTTTGAAAACACAGGACTTCATTATGTTGTTCAGTGTTTCTCCTTTAAATTCTCGAAGACAAATTATTCTCCAAGTTCAGAGTCAGGAAAATATCGATCTCATCCACCAAAGCTGGGAGTTTTCTTTTGTTAGATCTGGATTGGTATGATCCACTGAAAGTCCCTCCTTGCCTTGGCTTCTAGGGTGCTCAGAGAAAAGTTTTATACTTAGTCACTCCAGTTCTGATTCTTCTCAGTCCAAGTTTCTATTGCATCCTCTCTCTCTTCCTTCCTCTCCCAAACCACTATCACCTTTAATACATGACTTTTGCTTTCTTGTGTTTATCAATGATTCGATTTTATTGTACTGTGATTTTGGTAAACATCTGTAGTGTTCAAGTGGAGGATTTGTCCCCCTTTTGGTGATAATAGAACTCTAAAACTTCTTGGTTACATCATATTTTTGACTATCTGATGATTATGTTGGTTATCAACCCTTCTTCTGCAAGGAATGAAATATAACTACATTACAGTGCATCGTTTTTTGTTTTGTTTTTGTGATTTGGGTAGAATATAGCAAAAATAAAAATGATTTTTCTGTCATTTTGGTAATAAATTCGAAGCCATGGTTAACAGTTTTACATTTAAAATAAAATAATTTTATGAATATTTTAACCTTTTAAAACAGGAATGTCTCAGTTCTTATGGCATCAAAACGCTCACATTTAATTCACAAGGCTCTTCGCGACCAATTATATTGGTGTTTAACCCTCCCAGTGTCTTTTTTGCATCTTAGTATCATTGATTTCTTTATCAATAATGTCAAATATGTAAACTACTCCTGCTTAATTGTATATATGCACTTTGATTGTTTCTCTAATTGGTATTATTCAGATTCAGTGCCTCAAAATTGAGGATAATCATCTCACCCATGGTCCTCTTCTCAAAGGTTCAAAATGTGGCTTAAAGTATTTTATGTGTGGTTTGCAGAATCAGTTTGATGTCTTTTAGTTATACCTCCTGTTACTGACTGAATGTTTATGCCTCCTCAAAATTTATATGTTGGTTGGAAATGGTAGTTCACACCTGTAATCCTTGGTGTGAACTCTTAGCTTAATCTCAGGAGGCCAAGGTGGGAGGATTGTTTGAGCCCAGGAGTTTGAGATCAGCCTGGGCAACACAGATCTCCTCTCTGCTAAAAATAAAAATAAAATTAGCTGGGCATGTTGGCATGCACCTTTAGTCCCACCTACTCAGAAGGCTGGGTTGGGTCACTTGGACCTAGGAGGTGAGTCTGCAATGAGCTACAGTTGCACCACTGCATGCCAGCCTGAGCAAAAGAGCAAGACCCTGTCTAAAATATATGTATATATTATATGTTAAAGCTTTAATTCCCAATGCAATGACATTTTGAGATACGACTTTTGTCTTATCTCTGTGGCAATTAGGGTTAAGTCATGATGGTAAACCCTCAGGATGGGATTACTGGTTTTATAAGAAGAGAAAGAGAGAAAGAAGGAGGAGAGAGAACTCTTCACCACATTGAGGACATAGCCAGGTGGCAGCTGTCTGAAAGCCAGAAAGAGAGCTCAGACACAGACTCTACCAGCAACTTGACCTTGGACTTCCCAGCATCCAGAACTGTGGGAAATAAATTTCTGTGGCTTAAGCCACTCAATCTGTGGTACTTTGTTACAGCAGCCAAAACTGACTGAGACACAGCCTATGAATCCTTCCAGTCTGTTTTCAAA